TGGCTAATGGCTACAGAATTGAACAGCTCTAGATCCTTGGTAGAAGCTATACCTTCAGGTCAAATGTGCCCAAATCATGATCCTAAAACCCTGTACTAATGACCTCAACTTCCATGGAAGCATCCCCATCTGTGTCAAGCTGCTTTTTAAAAGAGAACAGAGAGGTGCTTGGGAAACAGGCAGATCTGAGTTTGAATCTTCTAACACTTAGCTATGTGATCTTCAGCAAGTTAATTAACCTCTCTGTGCCTCATTTTACCTGTTTTATAAATGAGGATAACGCCTACTTTGAGTTGCTGAGATTGAAATAATGTATTAAACTATCTACGACATGGAAAGTACTTGATAACAGAGACTACTAAATTTGACTGGCTTTAAAAAATCTCTAATAATATTATTACTAGTAAGGAAGGTGTTATTATCCCACCTACCATATTCAGATACAATGATGATTAGACTTAGCAAGAGGCAAGACAAGATTCTTTTTTTTTTTTTGAGACAGGGTCTTGCTCTGTAGCCCAGGCTGGAGTACAGTGACACGATCATGACCCACTGCAGCCTTGAACTCCCAGGCTCAAGTGATTCTCCTGCATCAGTTTCCCAAGTAGCTGGGACCACAGGCATGCACCATTATGCCTGGTTAATTAAATTTTTTTTTTAAATGGAGTCTCTCATGTTGCCCAGGCTGGTCTCCTGAAGTGCTGGGATTATAGACGTGAACCACCACACCCAGCCAAGACAAGATTCTTAAAATAGATAGTAGGAAATCTCATTTAAAATGGCCCTTTGGGGTTTTGTATGTAGCAGAGCAGCTCTTTCGTTGCTATCTATTGAAAGTCAACTCTCAACACAAGGGTTCATTTTTTAAAAAAATAATAAAATGTTCCTAAACTAATTTTGGGGTATATGTGGAGAGACTACTCTAAGAAATGCACAGTAAATACGTTTGTATTTGAAAATGGGCTACCTAATGGCAGGGAATGAATGACGCACATCTTTGTTTGCCTCCCATGGCTTTTGCTCAGCAAATATTCGATCCATTAAATAAATAGATATAGATTATTGATTATGTGCCAGACATCCTTCTAGACAAAGGGGTTAGGGGCAAAAAATGGGAGGTGCTTCCTTAATTGAATGGAGGATTGAATGAACAAACTGATGAACACTGTACCTTTTCTGATTTTTCTGAACTAAGTCATCAGTACTTTTTTGCATCTCTTGTTTCACCTAAGACTTTCTTTACTATGTCGCGAGGCAGTGGGACTTCCTTCAAAAGACTCAATTGAAATATGGTCTACTATGGCTGAAGCTGGGTATCTGTGTGCTTAACTTTTGTGTGGGTTTTAAAAGTTTCAAAATAAAAAAGTTTGTAAAAATCACCAATAATAATAGAAGGTAATTATCATGATAGGTATCAATGGTTTTATAGCATCCCTGTTTATAACAGAGTTAACCAAAAACTCTACAGATGCTCAGAGGTGAATGACTAAGAAAATTCACATAATCAAGAGGATAGAATACTATACAGCAACGAATTCACATCTGCAGACTTTGTCAATTCATGGAAATATATAAGGAAATAACATGAAATGAAAAAACAAGCAGAATATAATCCACAATTACAACAAAGAAAATATGTGATATGCATATATTTACATAGGCATATCACATATATTTAAGTTTTTACAAAAACTAAACATGTATTTGGTTATGTAGGAATATTACTTTCCTTTCTGGGTAAGACTGCCCGTGTTAATACATGCGATATAAATAAATAAATAACACATGTATAATAAATTCTGTGTTATTTTCTTTTATTTTGAGATGGAGTTTCACTCTTGTCGCCCAGGCTGGAGTGCAGTGGCATGATCTTGGCTCACTGCAACCTCTGCCTCCTGGGTTCATGCTATTCTCCTGCCTCAGCCTCCCTAGTAGCAGGAACCACAGGTGCACACCACCACGCCTAGCTAATTTTTTGTATTTTTAGTAGAGACAATGTTTCACCATGTTGGCCAGGCTGGCCTCAAATTCCTGACCTCAGGTGATCCTCCCGCATAGGCCTCCAAAAGTGCTGGAATTACAGGTATGAGTCACTGGGCCTGGTCATAAATTTTGTTTTCTAAGCAAACTTATCTTACGCCAGAAGGCAGAATGGTTAGGGAAAATATCTAGTGAAAAAGAGCACCAACAAAGGAGCACCATCTCTCAACTGTCACACTAAAGTGCAGTGACACTTCGGCAACTGACTCCCAGTTACTGGCATACAGTTTAATCTACCACTTGGAGCCAAATGGCAGATTTGGGATTTTTCTTAATCTGAGTTATTATTCAGAACAACATATTCAACACAAATATTTAAACAGTAGTGCCAGATTTCATTTTTACATGATAACTCCTCAAGCCTTTAACCGCAAGAGTGCATAGAAGGTAAAAATTTAAAAAAAAAAAAATTAAGCCTGCTGACTTTCACTGTGATTGTGGTTTGACATCATGCAGGATAGATCACAATTGCTGATTCATATTAGGAAAGAGAGCCCCCAGCTGTCACAAGCACATTGTGTTTGAAAATACAAAACCTTACCAAATCACTTAGCACTTAAAATTAACAACATCCTCATCATCTTGTGGTTGAAATGATGACTGAACAATAACTCAAGCTGGTTATGTTCTATATATTTTTTAATTAATAAAATTAGTATTCCTAGATCTTTTTAAATTGCTCTACTCTAGCCCTAGGGGAAAATGATTTCAGAAGGCTGAATATGTATGCTGATTCAAGATATGATTTCTCACACACCCAACCTCTATAATTTTGGATTATAGAGTAATACAGAGTAATCTGGCACCAACTCTTTGGCAATGCTGTTTAAAAACAAAGTTACTACTACACACAGTCCAGGATGTTGACTTTGCATTGTACATAAATACATTTATATAATACTTTTTATTTAATATAGAAGCCATAGCCTTGATTTTTTTTTGAAAAATGATTAAGAATATGGTAATTATGAGACTCTCAATTGACTCAAAAGCTCAGAGCTAAAATCCAGGTAGAGTTTGAACACACCTTACAAAAAGCTGAGATCCAAATTACATAAATTTTTTGAAACTTTTGATTTAAGGACTAAGTTTTCTGGTAACCTCTTTGGGAACATCAGAATAATAAAAGATGATTAAGTAATAACGATATCTCGGCTGGGCACTATGGCTCACGCCTGTAATTCCAGCACTTTGGGAGGCCGAGGCAGGAGGATCACAAGGTCAGGAGTTCGAGACCAGCCTGGCCAATATGGTGAAACTCCGTCTCTCTAAAAATTCAAAAAAATTAGCCAGGCGTGGTGGCGCATTCCTGTAATCCCAGCTACTCGGGAGACTGAGGCAGGAGAATTGCTTGAACCCGGGAGGTGGAGGTTGCAGTGAGCTGAGATCATACCACTGCACTCCAGCCTGGGCAACAGTGAGATTCCGTCTCAAAAAAAAAAAAAAAAAGAAAAGAAAAGAAAAGAAATAAAAAAGAAATAACGATATCTGATCAAATTATTTGCCTTGTCCGAATGGATGCCTGTGCTGACTATAAAATTCACCATCTGGGAGACCTTGAACAAATTATTTAATTTCTTTGATTCAAACTTGCTGTCTATAAAAATGAAAATAACTTTATGTAGTTTCTAACTTAGAACAATAAATTATTAATGATAAATATGAAAATGCTGGGAAGAGTTTCAATCACTACTAATGTATATTCATTATCTAGCATTGTCTTCTTTAAATGGATACATTTTGAAAACAGCCTTTAATCATAGAACCACTTTTTTGCATAACTTTAAGCCATAGGGTTAATTATACATGACACAAATCTAACCAACAGAATTGTACTACTTAGATTAAAAGAACCTTGCAGAAATGATAGTTTTGCATAACTTTAAATAAAAGACTAATTACATATGACATAGAAATCTTACCAACAAAACTGCATTATTTCAGTTTAAAAGAGACTTGAAGAAATGATATTAACAGTCCAAGTCATATTTAAAGAAGCCCACACAAAGGGGAATTGAAACGGATAAATGGATTTACTTGGGAGTTTATCTTGAAAAGGAACTAAAACACACATCCCAAATAACCAATGTCTGCAAGATCCAAAAAGACAGAACTCCAATAATGCAAAGGACTCAGTGACACTGAATTACAACGGACAAGTCCAGTAAAATTCAGTTCTTCCTACTATTCCTCCCAACAAAAGCAGAAATCAACCAACACGCGTGGTACCGGTTGACCCGTTCTGTGCCACTCAGAGTAGGTGCATGGAAGAGCAGACAGGAAGCTGGGGCATACTTAATGAATACTGAAAGGGAGTACTAAGGGTCTGGGAAAGTGTGCAGAGACGGACCCTACCTTTCACAGATTTCCCAATACTGTGTAAGTGAGTGATAGAACTGTAGTTTTGGGCAACAGTCTTCAAAAACGCTTCCATCCCTTCCTGGTGGTGGTAGTTGAAATCCAGCGCAGCTACCAAAGGCAGCAACAGGTCTAGCCAGAGGTACGGGAAGTTCATGTTCTAGAGATGAACAAAAATAAGAACCTGAGAACACATGAGGGCAGGCGGGGGCATCACCGGCTACGGCTCGGTACTCAGGTCTCAGGGTCTCCCGACACTGACGCTTCCTGCCTTTTAAGGAGGCAAAAGCTGGAAGCAACACCTTCGGGAGTGAGCCGTGCAACCGGGAACGGGAGCACGGACACCTCGGTGCCCTCAACCCAGCCGCCGGCGTCCCCCGCTCCTCCTCCTCCCGGCGCCTCCGCCGCCCAGCAGCTGCCGCAGCTGCGCCCGGCCCCGCGAGCCCCCAGCCTCACCAAGTCCCAGGCGCGCACCTCTACCCGCCCGCGGCTGCCCGGCGGGGCCGGGTGTTATAGCCAGGTCAGGGGGCGGGCGCGCCTGGGCCCCGCCCCCGTTCGTCCCTCCGGCCCACTCCGGAGCCGCGCGGGTGCCTCCCGGGCGGGGCCTCAGCCGCCTTCGCACCTAGCAGAGCCGGCGCCCGCGCGGTGTGCCCTTTGGTGGCGCTGCTGCCGGTACCGGGGGGCGGGCGGCGGAACGGGGCGGAGGGCTGCGGGACATGGAGTCGCCGCTCGCGGACAGCCTTTGCTGGCGCCCCAGGTTAGAAGTGTGTCATCGCCTCGGCCGTGGCTGTGGCCTGGGCAGCCACAGGACGCTCCACTGAGGGACACTCTCTGTCGCTGGCTGCAGCTACTTGGAAGAAGTTTAGGACTCGGCCGGTTTCCTGCGGTTGGCGGTGCCGGGGCCCACCTGGAGCCGGGACGCGTCCGGAGTCCTGGGTGCCCTGAGCCCCGCGCGGGCTCCTGCGAGATGGGCTGCGTCGGCCCTGGCAGGGCGAGCCAAGCTCCCAGCGGTGCCAAGCTGCCCAGCGAGGCTCAGCAATCGCGGGGCTTCAAGAAAGAACGCGCGCCTGTGTGGAAGTTTTAAATCCCACGAAGTGCAGAGTGCAGGATATTTTCCTACAAATTTACATAGTGGGTGGGATTTGAGTAAATTAGAATTGAATTTAAAACTGGAAGTCACATGGAAGAAGGCAGGACCACTGTTGTAAATCCGATGCTTCCCCCACCTGCACCTGAGTCTTAGGCCAATTCCAGGTCTCTCGTCCTAAAATGCTAATTTCTGGAAGGATGGCACAGTCTCTGCAGGAGAGAACGAAGGCTTCACTTAAACCTGAGAGGTGGTTTGTGGCGAAGGCCAGCCCTTTTTACCTCTCTAAAAAAATCATTCTCATTCTCTCTCTCTCCCCCCGCCCCCACTCCGTCTCTGTCCTCTGTCTCCCCCCCTCTCTCTCCCCCTATCTCTCTCCCCGTCTCTCTCTCCCCCTCTCCTCACTTCTCTCTCTCCTGGATTCTCAGTAACCGTGTCAGGGTATTGGGGCCCGTGTCAAGGTCCGGGGGATACAAAAAGTTTGAAAACCACTGATTTCAGATAACATTCCTCTTTTACAGACTAAAAATACGGATGCAAGCCCCCGACTAATTGAATAGAGTTTTTCTCATGGAGGCCCAAGAAAGTGTATTTTTAAAGAGGACCTTGAATGAATCTAATGTGCCTTCAAGAGCTGAGAACTGTTAGATTCCCTGCTCCTTCGTTCTTACAGATACAGATACTTTTCCTAGAATTGAGTTCTCAGGCCTCCCTGAGACTTCCTGTGATTCTGCGGCAGCAGAGAAGAGTGGTTAAAGAGCTGAGGCGCTCACGGGATGGGCGCCAATTCTTGCACGGACAGTCAGTGACTGTGTCGACTCTGTGCCTTATTTTCTGGTCTATAAAATGGAAGTCTTAATTGTACCTGCCTAAATAAAGTTGGCAGGCACATTGTAAGAACAGTGTGAAGTGTTTATTAAATAACCAGCTTAATTCATAACTCTTTAAGGGGAATTTTCCAAGAGTTGAAAAAATATATTTTATATATTAATATATATAATATATATATAATATATATATAAATATATATTATATATGTAATATATATAATATATTTATATATAAAAAGTATATATATTATATATATATTTTTTTTGAGACGGAGTCTCGATCTGTTGCCCAGTCTGGAGTGCATCGGCCTGATCTCAGCTCACTGCAACCTGCGCCTCTCAGGTTCAAGCAATTCTCCTGCCTCAGCTTACGGAGTAGCTGGGATTACAGGCGCCTGCCACCACTCTTGGCTAATTTTTGTATTTTTACTAGAGACGGGGTTTCATCATGCTGGCCAGGCTGGTCTGGAACTCCCGACCTCAGGCGATCTGCCCACCTCAGCCTCCCAAAGTGCTGGGATTAGAGGCCTGAGCCATGGCGCCCAGCCATCTTTTTTTTTTTTTTTTTTTTTTAAGAGAAGTTGCTTTATTATGTGTTTATTTATTTATTTTGAGATACAGTCTCACTCTGTTGCCCAGACTTGAGTGCAGTGGTGCAATCTCAGCTCACTGCAGCCTCCACCTTCCAGGTTCAAGCGATTCTTGTGTTTCAGCCTCTAAAGTACCTGGGATTACAGGCGCGCATCGCCACACCTGCCTAACTTTTGTATTTTTACACCACACCTGCCAAACTTTTTCATTTTTAGTAGAGACCGGGTTTCACCATGTTGGCCAGGCTAGTCTTGAACTACTGGCCTCAAGTGATCCTTCTGCCTCAGCCTGCCAAAGTGCTGGGATTACATGAGTGAGCCACTTTGCCTGGCCCAAGAGTTGGAAAATCTTAATATGATATTGTTTAGTCTTTGAGTAGGTTTTTTTGGTTGTTTTTTGTTTTTGTTTTTTAATTGTGCAGTAGTCACTATGCTAAATGTTATTTCCACTGGATGGGTTAAAGAAGTTCTCCTTTCATTGTTGTTCATTGACTAAGAGGTCTGAGAGGAGGGGGACTAGAGCTTGAGGAGATTAACTTTAGGCAAAGTTACTCTAGGAATGGGAAATGGAACTGAGTGGGAGCAAAGTGAAGGCTTGCTGATGTACCTTAGAAATCGTATCTTATGGACACTATCTGTTTTCCTGCAAGGTGCTGTGGCTGGAGACTGGAAGAAATGGTGGCTTCATCAATACTGGAATGGAGATTGCCAGGATTGTTGTTCTGGAAAAACAGAGATGAGCTATAGCTGAAATTGCTGCCACTGGGGTTCACACTAGGTAGGAAGGGAAGCAACTTCAGGAAGGAGTCAGAGAATGGAGGTAGGGGGTACAGAAGACTGAGTGCTGAAGGTTTAGGAGCTAGTAACACTCCGAGTGCAAGCCAGGGACAGCACTGGCATCACCTGGGAGCTTGTTGGAAATGCAGAATCTCTCACCGCGCTCCAAACCTACTGAATCAGAACACACATTTTAATAGGATTTCCAGATGATGTATATGTACATTCAAGTTTAAGGTGCACTGGTCTAGAGAGAAAAAAGATTTAGTGTTAGAGTATGAAAGATAACAGCAAAATAAAAGGTTCGCCTAGTAGAGTAAAATACTGAAGTTTAGAGATTTTAGAGGTGATTTTTTTTTTTTTTTTTTTTGAGACGGAGTCTTGCTCTGTCACCCAGGCTGGAGTGTAGTGGCACAATTTCAGCTCACTGCAACCTCCACCTCCCGGGTTCAAGCAATTCTCCTTCCTCAGTCTCCTCAGTAGCTGGGATTACAGGTGCCCACCACCACACCTAGCTAATTTTTGTACGTTTAGTAGAGATGAGGTTTTGCCATGTTGGCCAGGATGGTCTCGAACTCCTGGCCTCAAGTTATCTGCCTGCCTCGGCCTCCCAAAGTGCTGGGATTACAGGTGTGAGCCACCAGGCCTGGCCCTAGAGATGATCTTCCTAAGCATGGCGCCATTAAAGGTAAAACCATAATAAAAATATTTAAAAATATAAAAATGTATGACTTCTGTACAGGAAGCCTTATAAAGGTTATAAGAAGAAAGGTTTAAATCAGGTTATGAGAAAAATTATAAACTGGAATAAGAAATTAATAATTCTGACAAAATCAAGAATGAGCAAATAAACAGTTCATAAAAGCAGTAACGCAAATAGCTAATAAACGTAGTAACCTGGTAAGCAATCAAAGAATTATAAGTTAAAAAGGTAAAGTAATATTTTGTTTTGCTTATCACAAAGCAAAATTAAAAAGATTGACAATACCTGGAAGTAGACAGGATCTCAGGAAATGACATTTATGCTGTTTCAATGGTATTCTAAATTAATACAATTTTTCTGGAGGGAAGTCTGGGAATAGACATCAAAATTTTAAATGTGCCATTCCTTGCTAGAAATGTATGCTATAAAAGTAATTGAAGATGTGTTGAGTTTGTATATGTTAGGAGCTTCATCAGTGCTGCTGCTTTAAACTGTGACAAAGTAGATAAAATCTAAATGTCAAACAATAGCAGATTGGTTAGATCAGTGGTTCTCAACTTGAGTTAGTATTGCCCACAGCAGACATTTGGAAATATCTGGAGACATTTTTGATTGTCATAACTAGGGATGGGAGCTACTGGCATCTAGTACTGTACTGATAGAGGGCAGGGAGGCATTAAATATCCTTCAATGCACAACACAGCCTCCCACAACAAAGAATTATTCAGCCCAAAATGTCAATAGTGCTGAAGTTGAGACACCCTGGGTTAAAGAATATTATAGCTGTACGATTAATTATTTTTCATAATGTCAATGTAGATCTGTATTTATTCACTTGGAAAGATAAATTGTTCAGGCAAGAAGCAGATAATAAAAGTAAAATGAATAGTAAGATCTCATTTAGATAAAACAAACAAGAAAACCTATTCCCAGCAATATGTTTCTAAGGTTACCAACATGCTGAGTGCTAATCCACTAGTTGCAATGTTTTAATTTGTTTAAAAATCTTTCTGTATTTTCTGAAAAGTTTTTCCAGCAAACATGCATTGCTTTTTTAAATCAGAAAAAAATGAAGGCATTTCCTCTGCAAAGCGGAGGAAAAAGCAGAAAAGTGTTAGAGAGGACCAATGACTAATTCTGAATGAAAACAGAATCTAAATGTCTTAGAGTGAATTACAAAAGTGAAGAGGAGGTAAAGATCACTGGAAATGGGAAATTAAGGAATGAAAAAGCCAGAGTATTGGATCAATTCTGTTTAAGGACTCTGAATTTCCCTAAGATAGTAGCAGGAACTGGGACAGAGGGAACAACTATAGTCGGGGGCTAAGTACCTCAATAGATGTCAACAAGAATGAGAACAGTGTAACTAGACTTTGTGACTTTCAAACTTTTTTCTTTTGAAAGTGTCACAAGAAAATCTGAACAAGATAAAAGAAAAAATTTAAAGTTACAAATTTTACATACCTGGAAACAACCATTCTTAAAACACATTTAGGAGCGGGGTATGGTGGCACACACTGTAGTCCCAGCTACTCAGGAGGCTGGGGCAGGAGGACTGCTTGAGCCCAGGAATTTGAGGTTGCAGTGAGCCATGATCGCACTGCTGCACTCCATCCTGGGTGACAGAATGAGACTGTCTTAAAAAAAAAAAAAAAAAAAGCCCAAACCCCAAAACAAACACACACACACACATTTAGGTATTAATCAGTGCCCTAATGTGGAATATTTGTTTCTGGTATTTCATTATTATACACAGCACATCTATAAACATTCTCAGAGCTAAATCTTTGAGCACACATTACCTCCTTAGGATCAATTCTTAGACATGTAATTGCTAGGTTAAAAAGCATGTACATTTTTAAGACTTAAAATATTTGGCCAAATTATACTCATATAAAATGTCAAATGTATAATTTTTTAAATGTTAAAAAGCATTCTCACACAAATATAGAATAAGCACAAGTCAAGTTTTAACTTATTAATGAGGAAACCAGTAGGATAACAAAGCCAGTTCAAAGAAAGACATGAGAAAATATGCGTGTATATATACACACACACACATATCTATATGTGTACATATATTATGTATTTCTATTTATATGTGTATATACATATATTATGTGTATATATAACTATATATACATAGATATTATGTACATATATCTGTAAGTATATACATAGATATATAAATATATCTGTAAGTATATACATAGATATTATGTATGTATATCTATAAGTATATACATAGATATGTACATAATATCTATATATGTATACATATGTATCTGTGTATATACATTTACCATGTACATATATCTATGTATATATATCATGTACATATATCTATAATATATACATATGTATATGTTATGTATATATGTATATATACATCCCATAATGTATATGATGCATATACATGTATACATAATATATACATATGTATATACTTATAGTATTATATACATATAGTATATGTATTGTGTACACATACCTATATACATATGTATATTATGTATATATATACTATATATGATATACACATATAAATATACATCCTATATACATATGTGCATAAATATATAAAAAAGAGAATACTAAAATCATTCTACATTATTGCTAAATTAGATATAAATCTGATTAATGTTTTACAGGGTGATAAACCATAACGTTTGGTGCTATCTTTACAGAGCAGAAATTATTTCCATCTGTGCAGGACAGAAATTATATCTCCACTGGACAAAAATATAGCATCTCACCATTTTTCTACAAGCTAACATTTGAATTTGCAGTTGTAAAATGTGCAAATCCGTAATAACGAGTCAGGATTCAATTCACCTTAGATGGACTGGTTAGGCAATGCCTAACATGAAAACAAATTATGCAATCATATTTTGCTTTCCAAGTTTTGGAAAATTTTTTCTGACCAAAGGTCATTCCAATTTACAGTCCTTACCGGTGATGTGTGAACATGCCTGTTTGGCCTCTCATGATTACTAT